GCTGCTGTCAACAAACACGAGAGAGAGAGACCTGAAGATGGAGAGAGCAAGACGGAGCGGAGAGATAGAAACAGGGAGGCAAAGTGAAAGCCAAACTGACGCGAGCATATGCCCGCGTCCGAGTATCTCCGTAGCCGAATTAATCTAGTTGCTGACGCTGCTCCTCCCCTCCTATCCTTTGCCTTAATTGTCTCCAGTAAACGTTTCCTGCTTCCCTCGCCTAACTGGGGCAAGGCTCCGATCGCCGGCTGCCAGTTCGGTTGGACTTATCGATCGTGGATTATAAGTTGGAACAATATTTTTCTTTCACACCAAATCAGTCAAACCAGCCAGCAGTAAATAATTCATGATCGTTTACGACGAAACGAACAGGCTGTGCAACGGTGAGGCTCCGGTCACGGCCCCGCCGTGCGGTCTCCAGTCACCAGCAGTTGGACCCTATGTGTCAATGTCCGATTCTATTTTTTTGTGTCAGTGTCTGATTCCATTTTTTTTTTTTGTAACCTTCAACCAAATGTGAGACAAGGATGATCCGTTTCCCTCATCACACTAGACGGAACCATCTCATTCCTAAAAACTGAGACAGGAGCATCCCATCACCCATGTGATGTTTCTCAACCAAACGAGTCTCTTCCCATCTCTCATGTAGGGACTAGGGAGCGAGTAGGTTAGGGCCAGGTGGAGCGTCGACACATGCACATCCTCACTTGAAATAAAAACTAAAACCTGCCGCAGTCCCGAATTCTCTTTTGGGTGTAAAAAACTGGAAATCCACGGACCTGAACCAGTAGCACTACCAGCCCTTCGATCAAGAGAGATCACCTCAAATAATGGGATACTATCGTCAATTGCTCAATCACATAACAATAATAATAAGATAATTTTTCATAAAACATAACCACATTTCCCAAGACCATCTGATCCAAACAAACATTGGCCCTGTTCCAACCAAACTCTGCATAAACATCTCTACTACATTATCCAGCAGAGAATAATCAAGATATGATACTCGAATGTCAAGACACGAAGTTATATAACAGCAAAATAGTTCAGGCGCTCCAAAGCTAGGCTAGTGCTTATAAAGTACGGAGTACTGGACTAGAAAGCTACAGCTTTGTTTCAATAATACTTCACTTCTTTGCTTTCTTCGGTGCCCTGTGACATCGGTCAAACATAGAAAAACATATCAATGACAAAAACATGATAAAAAATAAAAAATCCAAGGAAACAAAACAAAGAGCTCCAAGGCACTTACCCAGTAGCTGGAGCTGTGGCTGAGACTGGTGGTGCTATTTCTCTTGGGCCCTATACGATAAAAGCATACATTTAAACAAGATTCTAAACAAATTGTAAGACCTATAAACATACCAAACATGTAGCCATTAAAAGGGCTAAGGGAAACTTATAAACTACAATGCAACCATGAATGATACAAAATATACGTAAAAATCAACCTAGCAGCTTGTCATTTAAATGTTAGCACACTGATCCACAATTTTTTTTTTCAACAGATCAAGATTTAGCAATTGACAAATTTCACTAGACCATAAAAAATAGAGATATTCCAGAATATTATGAAGCAGCTGCTGCACCCATGTTCAGAAACAAATGCAGGTATCAATCAATATAACATTGTCATACCTGGGCCAACCTCTCCTCCCTCCTGGCAATCTTCCTCTCTCGGCTTGCCTTGCTCTTGGCGCGCTTGGCCTCAAACTGGTCAGAAAGTGTCTTCTCTCTGGCCTTCTCGGCCTTGGACTTGTGGATACTCTCCATAAGCACCCTCTTGTTCTTGAACGAGTTACCTTTGACCTTCATGTACATGTCATGATACATGTGTTTGTCGATCTTCTTGGCCTCACGATACTTGCGGAGCAGGCGCCTCAGCACACGCATCCTCCTCATCCACAGAACCTTGGTGGGGAGCCTGGCCTCCCTGGTGCCCCTACGTTTTCCTGTAAAGACATCAGATTCGCACAAGTTGATCCATCCTTGAAAACAGTAACATAAATGAGTTGCAGCAGCATACCATATCCTGAGTGGCGTCCCTTCTGCTTGGCCTCATGTGCCCTTCTTGCACGGGATCTAGAGTGGATCTTCTGAGGCTTCTTGATAATAAACCCATCCTTAACTAACTTCCGGATGTTCTGGCCTGTTAGTATTGCAAAAACATGGTCCACTTATGTTCCTTTACAAACTTAGAGCAGAATAATAAGCATATAAAATACTATACTTGCCTACAATTTCAAAACTCTAATCCATTGTGTCAAGTAAATGTAAATCGCAAGCTCATGTGCAAAGCCCAGCAAAATCCCATGATTGTAAAAGATTTGAGCTAAGGACTATCCCAAAGAGCCCAATCATGGTCAGTATGATAAGTTGAGATTTGAGAAACAACATGACAAAATCTGAGTTGGCTAAGCAGTGCAAACATTTAGCAAGACAGACATGGCCAGATAATAATCAAATGTAAAATTAACAGTGACCAATAATATGAGCACTACATGCGCCAATTATGTCAAGCTATGTAATTCCACGCTATTCACAATTTGATACACATGCAATACCAGTCCTAGCCAAAATCTACAATCACATATACACAAACAATACAAATATAATAATACATAAAAAGAAATAATCATAAACTGGATTTGTTATTTCAAGAAAACTATAATTGCATCAGGTTAACTAGTATCATATACAAATTAGAAACCACATGGGTACACACGTAACAAACTAGAACAGCTACAGCCACAGATCCAAACAAGAATTTCAAAAAATCACAGCAAACGTCAAACATATTCTGAACCAAGCAAATAAATACCTCACCCACAGATCCATACAACCCCAACCCAGTGAGCAATTAATCAACAGGGGGAAGCGGATAAGTCTTACGGGAGTTCGCCATGGATATCTCACTAACTTCATTCGGGTCAAGCCACACTTTGCCTTTGCCACATTTGAGGACGCTCGCGGCAAGGCGCTTTTGCAGCTTCAGCGACACCATCTTCGGCTACTGTGTTTCTGAATAGCAGGAAGTCAACCCCAACCACTGCAACTATCGGATTGCAATGATACCAGCAAGCACCCTGCAAGTGACAAAAGAAAAACATAAGATTGTGTAAATAACTAGGTACATGGCAACAAGATTGCGTAAAAATAGCTACTGCACCACCAAAAGGGAAAGTAATCATGTAAATAACCAGGTACAGGGCAACAAGATCGAACAAAAAAAGTTGTACTGAAAGCAGGCAAGCAAACCAAACAATCAAGAATTCAAGATGAATGTCTTTCTACTGCAAGTGATGAACTGATGATAAAGCTACTGCTAATATAGTAGGACTTGCTTTGCTTCATGCTGTTGAGTAGTTGCTCCAACTGTTAAACATCTCAAGCTTCAGCATTCAGGTACAGCTACAGCCTACAGGGGTTGATCGATATAGCTGGAGGATCAACCTCAGGGTCCATTATACATCGGAGTTCTATCGACGAAGTTCATAAATTGTCAAGAAAATCGATTTCACTGTATCAAATCCTTGTGTTATTGAGAGCACAAGTAACTTTCAGAGACGGTATAGGTGGACCACCCAAATTTTGTGAACAGTTAACAGAACCTAGTTTTTTAGGCGAGCTAACCCAGACTAGTTAATTTATAATACTGACATACCAAGTTACTTTCATGGTTGGCTTACCTGTTCTGAACATCTCTCCTCTGGCAGCAAATAAATTGCATGCCATCTTGTCATGTACTAGCACCTTATTACCAGCTTAAGAAATTTATTAGGATCTACCTCATTTCCAGTACGCCATATGAAATTTATTAACAATGTAGCTCCACCAACAGGCAACAGCTATAAATGAAAAACAAAACTGGAGAGCCTCGAAAACTAGTTACTCATACAAGCACATTCAAGAAGCGAGACAGGCTTCAGCGAAGTCGCACAATTTTCAATGCACCTACCGACAGTAAACAGACGATAGGTCCTTTTTTCCCTATCGGTTAGACAACAAGAAACAAAGCAGTACCAATTCACTGAGTGCACATACCGCTACATAAGCATAGATCTAATCAGAGTGCTTTTTATTGTGGTAATGGATACCCTATAAAAATCTGAGAAATACCAAACACGGGCGGGTAGCAACGTGTCGGCATATATCTAATCAGAGTGCTTTTCTTGAAAGACTAATCAGAGTACTAGCAGGAAGCCTAGAAATCGCAGAGCTGTCCAAGGCCTGAGCACATGGAACGTGATAGAAAAAAAAACGGCTAGCATCAAGGTGAGGCAACATTCTCGGTTGGGCTGACTCACCACGCTTGAAGAAGATGGAGAGGCGTAAGTCGATAGATAACCTTGAGCGGTGAGTTCCAAGACCTACAAGAAACGATGGAGATGCCGTTGAAACCCTAACGGATCAAGAAGCGGGAAAGGAGATGCGTTTAAAGGCGAGCTCACCTGCGGAGGCGGAGGTTCTGGTGCCGCGCTGTCCGAAGCGATGGCGACACCTGAGAGGATCAGCGCCTCAGCGGGTGTGGGGCGGCGGCGGTGGCTTATACGTGCCCAAAATGGCCACGGGGATTAGGGTTTTCGGCTCTAAAGCGGAGCAGGCCTCCGTTCATTACTATTGGGCCATGGCCCATTTACAAAGGCCACAAAACTATCTCCGTCCGGCCCGGCGGACCATCTCCAACTCGCCCGCCATCCCCGCTTCTCTTCTGTCTTCTCAATCTCGGCCGTGGCTCGTGAAACAGGGGCGCAGCGAGGGGAGAAGGATCGAATAGACTTTGCCACTGCCGATGCACCCAAGAAGTTGCTGAAAGGGCGAATGATTTTGGCCCGGCCCATAACAGCACAGAGGCCCGATCCATATTTTCACGAAACCCTAGCACCTCCTATATAACTTCTCAATCGTGCCCCTTCGTCTCTTTCTCGAGCCTAACTCTCACGCGCGCCGCCGCCGCCGCTACTGCTCCGCACCTCGCTTGCTTCCCCGTCGCCAAGATGGTACGTCGCTTCACCTCTTCCTCCCATTCTTCCTGACCACCTTCTGTTGTTTGTCGTACGGTGGATGCCTAGTTCTGTCTGTCCCGCTTGTTATGATATGTTGCGCGAGATCTAGTGTTGGACTTCGTAGTCCAGCTCCAGTTCGATATGTATTCGGCTAGGCTCCATAGTTTAGTTTTCGGGATAGGAGCATATATAGCAATCATACTTTGGATCAGTCGCTGTTTTTTCATATAAGTTGAAGGTCGTTGGTCGTAGCACTGGAAATCTGGAATAGCTTGTGCTTAAAGTGCAATTTAGTGCTAGCCAGGTAGGGTCATGCGGGTAGTTGGATTGTGCTTGCCTGGATTGTGCAATTTAGAGTGGCACACTGCCTTTTGTGCAGTGTAGCCGTGTAGGTTTGGAGAAGTTGCTACCTCAGGTTCGCCAGGGGGAGGTGCGAACTGTAAAGGCCACAACACATCAGTGTGGTTTTCATCCTGAGTGCTTGTGCAAGTTGCAGCAGATTGGAAACATACATTTTTTGTAAACTCACTTTGGTCACCTGACACCTTTGCCATGTAATCTGAAGCCACTCTGCTGCACCAGGCAGCATGAAACATGAAAGTAGTATCCAGTGCAAAGATTAACATTTGAATACCTCATGTATAAATCAGTGGCTTATAATACTTTTTCCACTTGTGTTGATATAGTTGTTATGTCTTTGCTTTTCAAAAGTATATATATAGTTTCTCTTGATGCTATTGGAGAGTGAATGACAACTAACTCAACTTAATGTTTTTTAGTGGTCTACATATCTAGTGTTTATTTAAGAAATTATAATTTTTCTCTTGCTGATTGTTAACCTACCTGAGTGTGCACAATCTTTTATATTGATACTAACATTAGTCTTGAAGTTACAGTTTTACACTTACCAGTTATATTGCATTGAACAATTCTAGTGAGCAGCTGTGTAATTTATTTTGTTTATAATGCCTATGCAGACTAAGCGCACCAAGAAGGCTGGAATTGTTGGCAAATATGGTACATGCTCAAAAAATATGACATATTTCCCAATTTGTGCGTCTGGGATATGAATTTAACATTGCAAATTATAATGTTATAGGAACCAGGTATGGTGCTAGCTTGCGTAAGCAGATCAAGAAGATGGAGGTATCTCAGCATTCCAAGTACTTCTGCGAGTTCTGTGGGAAGGTAGATCTTCTGTTAGTTAGCCTGCTTCTGCATCCGAGTCTGCTATTTTTTGATCTATTACACTGCAAGCTGTCTTTATGTATTCGTTATCGCCGCTACTAGACTGTTATCAACTGTAGGCTGCAGACTGATTTTGAGCACATGAAGGCAATCGCTCTTAAATATATTTGTTTGTTTATTCTCATATCTGAATGGTTTATAATATGTTTAGGCATGTTGAGCAATTTGTTTCTAAGATGTGTCCCACTTTTGCTGTGTTGTCTTTCCAGTTTGCTGTGAAGAGGAAAGCAGTTGGAATTTGGGGATGCAAGGACTGTGGGAAGGTCAAGGCTGGCGGTGCTTACACCATGAAGTAATCTTTTCTGACTCTCATCTTGTGTTCCATAACCATAATTTGTTAAGCATGGCTAAATTCTGTTGTGTATTTGCAGCACTGCTAGTGCAGTCACTGTCAGGAGCACGATCCGTCGCTTGAGGGAGCAGACTGAAGCATGATTTAGCTCGTTATATCAGGGTTCTCCTAGTTGCTCTTGTCAGGCCAGGCATGCTAGGGTTCTCTAGTTGCTGTTGTCAGGGAATGTTGGGGTTCTCTAGTTAAGTCATGAGACTGGCTGTTTGGCCGAGATAATGCTCTAGCATTTTTGGTTTATGCTCTAGGATCTCTAAAGGTTGGGTGCTAAGATTTGTACTTGGTTACCTTTATGAATTTAACGAGTGTTTGATCCTTTGCCTGTCTTAATGACGTCAAATTTGTTTGTGGTTTCTACTCTTTTGTCTGCTTCGAAGGTTTGCTATTCTTGTTGAAATTCTACCGATAATGCTGCGTCTTCTCAAAATAGAAAAGTTCTTTATTGGTCTGGTGGTTGACTCTCGGTTAGCTGAATGTTTAGTTGTCGTTATTCATAGGCTACTGTCTTCAATGGAATGGTATAGTTTGAACTACTGACGTATTTCCTACCTGGTGACTGCTGTTTTATGTAATGAGTAAATAACAATTTTCTGCACAGACGATCCACACCTGATGCAAATGAAGTTATTTTCACTTTTGATTGACAAGAGCCACACAATTTCATACACGTGACAGTACATTTCGAACATCGAAAATATAGTTAAATCTCTTCTAAAATGAAAGTTCCAGTTATTTTCCGATTACTTCCTCAACTTGTTACCTCTAATGACATCCTCCAGCAGCTTCAACCAATTTCTTGAAACAAAGACCACTGACTGAATGTCTCCAATGACAGAGATACAGATCTTGTTGATGGGCCTGAGTTCCCTAATTTTGTCTGGAGATCATACAATTGTTGTGCTGGTGATAACAATTACAGAGCTGTTATTTCTCAACTATGTTCTATCAATCGCATTCAGTCAATTTAGGACACATTATTGTAGCCCGTTTCAGTTGGCTTCAGTTAGCCGATATATGCAGATAGTACCATCTGATCATATAGCACTCCCACTCCAAAGAAAACACCGAAAGCAATTGCAAAGATGATCTTGCTGGCATAGAGTTCTGTATAGACAACAGACACTGGACCTGTCTCTGATGGACTGCACTGTCGACCCAGCATTGTACCACAGAGCTTCGGGTTTCCATCAAAGCTAGAATTTGCAAACGTGCTGTGGTGTGTGTTGTAACCGGGGTCTCTCCCCCTTTTTTCTTCTTAATATAATGAAGCGTAGTTCTCTTGCGTTTTCGAGAAAAAAAAAAGAATTTGCAAACGTGCTAAGCTGACCTGAGGCTGGAATAGGTCCTTCTAGGTCATTGAAAGAAATGTTGAATTTAGATAGGAAGTGTAGATTGTTCAGCGCGGCTGGGATTGCACCTGTTGGATGGTTGCTTGACAAGTCGAGCACCAGCAAGTTTGTCAGATCGCAGATCGATTTTGGGATATCTCCGTGTAATCTGTTGAAGCTCAAATTAAGTGAAAGGAGCTCTTTCAAGAGGCCTATATCTGGAGGGATTACGCCAACAAAGTCATTGTTTCCTAGGTTGAGCACTTTTGGAAAAGCATTGGCCATGCGGTATTGAAATGCTGTATCTACATATATTGGTAGCTCAAAGACTCTTGGATCCAAATGTGCTGTGGTCTTCTCTGATCTCATCATTGGCATCTTTATTAAAGATATTGGAATTTCCCCAGTAAGACTGTTGTTTGCTAAGTCTAGATAGAACAGGAACTTTAGGCTGCTGATCCAGTAGGGTATGGGTCCAGTTAGCTGATTGTTATTTAACATTAACATCTCCAAATTTGTGACATTGGATAACCACCGAGGTATTCTCCCCAGCAAGGAGCACCGACCTAAGGAAAGAACCTGAAGATTATCGAAACCGTCAATGCTGTCATCATCTGGCATGGTCTCATGCATGAAGGTGGATCCGATCAGAAGAGTGGTAAGTTTCTTGCTGCTCTTAAGGATCTGAAGGGTGTTTGTGATGTTTGTAAAATTGTTCTGACCAAGGGATAGGAAGGTGAGGGACTTCAGATTACCTATTCTTGGTGAAAGCTGCCCATTTAAGCTGTTGTCAGATAGCCTCAATGCAGTCAAATTTCTGCAAGAGTATATGCTTTCTGGAACTGTGCCGGTGAAGTTGTTGTATAGAAGGTCTAAAGTTCTGAGATTGTGCAGGGTAGAGAAATTGACCTTGCCAAGCTCTCCACTGAAGCTGTTGCCCTTGAGGTTGATGGTTATAAGATCTGTGCAGTTGCTCAAGGTTGATGGCAACTCCCCAGACATACTGTTGTAGTCCAAATGGAGTTCCTGCAATCTCTTCAGCTGACCTGTGGAGCCTGGGATCTTGCCCCTCAAATCGTTTGCTCCAAGGTCAAGGATGACCAAATTAAGCAGTTTGGCTATATGCGCGTCATCAATTATTCCTTGTAAACCATTGTTGGGAAAAGAGAGGCACTCCAGCGAGGTAGCATTGAAGAGCTCATCAGGGAGGTTTCCATTGAGGTTGTTGTGGCCAGCCTTGAGCACTCTTAGCATGGAACAAACACCAAGACCAGGGGGTATGCTCTCCCTAAACTGGTTGTAACTGAGATCAAGAACCACCAAGGACGGCGAGTTCTTGCAGTAAAGCTGTTGTTACTAGCATTAAGAGAAACCAGGCTCTCCATCGCCTCCCATGTAGTGTATGGAAACTGTCCTGTAAACAAGTTGCTTGAGATGTTCAGTACCTGCATTGGCACATCAGAAACTGACGAGCTTAGCTCTTGCAGGTTCCCGGTGAGGCAGTTGAAGCTGACATCAAGCACAACGAGGCTGCTGGAAGCAGGGGAGGATTTGGGCCCCGGGCTGCCCGGGCTGCAGACCGGGGCGAGGCCCAAGAGCAGTGGGAAGTTCCTTCATAAAAATGGCATAAAAAGGCTGCCTGGCCCATTAGCCCACCCCGAGGAGAAGTCAGCCTAGCAACTGGCCGTCGCCCTAGCCTGGCTCCCGTTCGCACAATCGCACTCGGCCAGCTCCCGTCCGCCTCCACCCTGGCCGCCTCCCTTCCCGTCCGCCTTCAGCCTCGTCCTCCCGTCCCGAGTCCCGACCGCCCCAAGCCCCCAATTCCCTGGCTCCCCGCTGGCCGCGCGCCGCGCCCCCGCGTGCTAGGTCACCGCCTGACCGCCTCGCCGGTCAGCCCCTCACCGGCTCACCCCCCGCCGACCCACCGGCCACGCGTGGTGCGCCCACGCCCCCACGCGTGGCCCCCTATTGAAATTGCTCCGCCACTGCAACAGGTCAGATGACAGATGCCATTTCTTTTTGAAATTGCTCCATGATTGCTACCTTTTACATTGCAAAGTAATGAATATTTCATTTCATTGAGTAGGACTGTCATTGAGTATTTGAGTCTTAGTTTGCAATTGCAACATTTCATACCTTAGAATGGAGAAATACTATGCTAAAAAGAGAAGTGCCAAAACTATAGAGAGCCGGGTTGAGCAAAAAAGACCATGGATTGAACTTGATATGAGAGATATAGTTGCTGATCTAGGAGACAGGAAGCCATTTGATGATTTTCATCATGACATTAGGGATGAGGCAAGGAGAGCATATCTACAAATAGGTCCATATAGGCCAGCTGATCATAAGTTTCAAAAAACAGAAAAAGATGGTAAAGGCCAAACAAGAGGATTTGTTGGATCATGGTTTGATCAATTTGATTGGTTAGAGTACAGTGTAGCCAAGGATGTAGCTTATTGCTTTTATTTCTATCTCTTTAAGCCACAACAAGCTGGGTTTCATAGTAATGATACATTCACCAAAGTTGGGTTTAGAAATTGGAAGAATGCAAATGATTCTTTCAAGGAGCATGCTCAATCAATTGATGGCTTTCATAGTAATGCAAGAAAGCGTGCACTTGATTTCAAAAATCAGAGGCAAAGTGTTGAACATGTGTGGACTATTACAAGTGTAGCGGAAGAGGAGGCATATAAAGCTCGTTTAACTATCATGTTAGGCATTGCTAGATTTCTCCTTTTGCAAGCTCTAGCCTTTCGTGGACATGATGAGTCTAAAACATCAAGAAATAAAGGGAACTTTATGGAGATGCTTGAACGGTACAGAAAGAAGGATCCTAAGGCTGCACTTGTGACCGGTGAAAATGCTCTAGGGAATAATCAAATGAGTAGTCCAATGGTTCAGAAAGATTTGGCTAGAGCTTGTGTAGAGGAGACAAGTGAGTTAATTAAAAGTGAAATAGGAGATCGTTGGTTTGCGGTGCTTGTTGATGAGGCTCGTGATGCATCTATTAAGGAACAAATGACTATGGTTGTGAGGTATATACCTCGTCTCCATTTGGTTATTTCGTTGGTTTTATTTTGTTGCTTTCAAGTAACACTATTTTCTCTTTTCTCTTGTAGGTTTGTCAATGATAAAGGAAGTGTGATTGAGAGGTTTCTTGACATTGAACATGTTTCTGACACCACATCACCTTCACTAAAAGAAGCATTAGATACTATGCTTAGAAGATATGGTCTATCTATTTCTAAGATTAGAGGGCAAGGATATGATGGAGCTTCAAATATGAGAGGACAATTTTATGGGTTACAAAGACTGGTATTGAATGAAAACCCATATACCTTTTACATTCACTTTTTGCTCATCAATTGTAGCTTGTGGTAGTTTCTGTAGCCAAGTGTTGTGGCTCAACTTTTGATTTCTCCAATTATGTCACTTCAATCGTCAATGTTGTTAGTGCTTCCTGCAAGAGGAAAGATCAACTCCTTCAAAGTCACCATGATAAGCTTGTTGAGCAGTTAGATAGTGGTGCTATTTTTTTTGAGAGAGGGAAAAAATAAGAAACTAGTCTTACTAGGCCTGGTGATACACGGTGGGGTACACATCACAAAACATTGGCACGTCTTATGATCATGTGGTCCTCTGTACTGGAGGTGTTAGAGAATATTAGTGAAGATGGAACTGATGGGGAAAAGAAAACTACAGCCTCTGGATTGATTCAAAGAATGGAGTCATTTGAATTTGTGTTCATATTACATCTTATGATCAGAGTATTGGGGATGACTCAAGACCTGTCACAATGTTTGCAAAAAAAAATCAAAACATTGTTCGTGCAATAGGATTAATTGGCTTTGTGATGAGAAATATGAATGAAATGAGGGAAAATGGTTGGGATGCTCTTTTTTAAGAGGTAAAGGAGTTTTGCCTCCTCAACAACATAGACATTCCTAATATGGAAGATATGATACCAGTTAGAGGTCGTTCGAGATGTCGTGGTGCTAAATTAGTGAGTTACTACCATCATTTTCAGCATGGAATTTTCAATGTTGTGATTGATCAAGTTTATTGTGAGTTAAACAATCGATTTCTAGAAAGATCAACTCAACTCTTGAGATGTGTTGCTTGTCTTGATCCGAGGGATTCTTTTGCCAACTTTGAGGTATAGAAGTTAGTTGAGCTTGCTAAGATTTATAAAGATGACTTCTATGATTATGACTGCATAAAGTTTGCTGGCGACCTTCATATATTCATTGATGAAGTCATAAATGATGATAATTTTGAGACTTGTACTGATCTTGGTAACCTTGCTGAGAAGATGGTTCATACTAAAAGACATACACCTTTTTCTTTGGTATATCGTCTCATTGAACTTGCATTGATTTTGACGGTGGCAACAACAACAGTTGAAAGAGCCTTCTCTGCTATGAATATTATCAAGACCAAATGAAGAAATAAAATGAATGATGATTGGCTAAATAGTAGCATGATGTGCTATATTGAGCAGAATTTGTTTGCGTCGATTGAAGATGAAAAAATTCTAAAGCGCTTTCAAGGCTTAAGAAACCATAAGATGAATTTGCCAAACGAGGGCTCAAGGTGCGTGTCGTTTACTTGTATTAGTCTATTTCAATACATAATGTTATCTTGCTTTATAAAGGGCTGAGATGTTGAAAATTTTTATGTAGAATTGAGGATGTCGGTACAAGTGGAAGTGGTGTTAAATCATGAAGACTCTTAATTTGGTACTTTTCTACCTTCAATGTTCTACATATTGTTTGAGTCTATTGGTTGAACACTTGGAATTTAGGGAATTATATAATTATTTATGTTCTTTGAAAAATATGTTATATCTAATAGTGTATGGCTAGTAAGATTTTAAGCCTTATATTAGTTAGCCCGGGGCGAAGCCCATTTCTAGATCCGCCACTGGCTAGAAGACACCAATTCCTGCGGCAGGGAACCATACAATGAGTTGTGGGAGAGATTGAGTCGCTGCAGGCCGGTGAGGTTGCCAAGGGTCGCTGAGATGTGTCCCTGACGGTTTCTATAAGCCAGAAAGACATCGATGACTGCGCCATCTGAATCGTAGGCGATCCCTTCCCATTTGAAGCAATCCATGCCGTCCTGCCATGAGCCGGTGAGGCCACCGTCCTAGGAGAGCTCAGCGACAAACTAGAGGAGCTCTTTGTTACACTTCTAGGATCATCTAGGAGTAGATCTAGCGGGTTGACTTCACTAATTTGGCATAAACATCATGTAGTTCAACGATGTGAAAGTTAGAGGGAGAGAGAGAGAGGCCCATACCTTCGGGCCTGGTAGAGGAGGAAAGAGTCACGGCGTAGTGCAGATCGCTATGGAGATCGTCGTTGGCGGTGGCGGACGTGGAGCTTCTCGTCGCTGACAGCGTTCCCTTGATCGGTAGGGTTAGGACCACAGTGAGATTGTGGCGGCGATGAACCTCATGTCCTGAGCCTCGGCCCCCACCTTCCTTTTATAACGCTATGTGATAGGGGCCCACCAACCATGGGTTGGTTTGTGCGCCCCCGATCAGGGCGCAAGATCAGAGCCTTGCCTCTATCGTTGGATCGGGCTGGCTGAGATCAATCCTAACAATCTTCCCATTGATCTCACCTTATTTCTTAAACTTTAGACTTAAACTTAACACTTAACTTGGTACCCATTTTGTTATAGATCAGTGTATAGAGCGTGCCTCGTCATGACAGTTAGTACCATCAGATTAACAGTTATAATACACCTTTCTATTTTGAAACAGATCTTTAACTTATTCTATGCCCTTAGTCTCTAGAAATCATAGGCTTTTCCATAAACCCATATCAACTATGTGTTCTCTGAACGCACTGGGTGGTAAGCCTTTGATAAGCGGATCCGTAAGTACTTGCTCGGTACTTATACGCTCAAATGCTTTCAAAATGATTCTGAATTTTCTCCTTTACAACATATAACTTAATGTCAATGTATTTGGCAGCACACTTGACCTATTGTCAGATGAGTGAATTACTTTAAATAGTTATTGCTGTTGTCTACCATTGTTAATTCTGGGTACAAATTCCCTTAACCACTTTTGCCTGTTCCTAAAGCCTCATGACAAGCTATACTATGGGTGTGCATCATTGATGATACCACAACTGTTTCTTTGGAGCTTTTTCACAATAAAACTCCAACTGTGAGTGTTAGTAACTACTGTGGATTTCTCGACACATTTCGCCGAATTTTAACATTTGTACCCATAACTATTTGAGAGTACTTGTTCTTCTTTACTTAGCATGAGGCCTTTAATACTTTGCAAACTGCAAGACATTCTTAATTCCATTCTAGTGATCTATATCTGAACTGGACTTTTGCCAAAACATCCCGAATACGTGAAATACGTCAGGGTAAGTTCTTACTTGTGCACTCATTGAGCTTCCAACAGCTGAAACATGTGGAACCATGTTCATTTGATCGATCTTATATTGGTTCCTAGAACACTGAAAGTTTCCAAATCTATTACCCTTACTATAGGAGCAGGTGTAGGTTTACTCGCATGCATACTTTATTTCTCTAGAATCTTTTCTAGGTATGCCTTTACTATAGGCCTAATATCCCTTTTCTTCTATCTCTGTGAATTCCAATTCCTAGAACCAATGACGCTTCACCAAGATTATTCATATTAAAACTTGAGGATAAGAACTTCTTCTCCAATGGCAGATTAACCTCGCTACTATTGAGTAGGATGTCATCTATACACAGGATGCAGAAAATGATTTTTCATTCTTGAACTTTGCATAAACGCTATTATCCTTCTCATTCTCTTTAAACCCAAACTTTCTAATTGTTTCTTCAACTTTAAATACAACTGTCTAGAGGCTTGTTGTAACCCATAAATGGATTTCTGCAGACGGCATCCCGTATGTTCTTTTCCTTCCATCACAAAATCTTTGGGTTGTGCCATGTAAACATTTTCATACAAATCCCCATTAAGGAATGTCGTCTTTACATCCATCTGATATAACTCTAAATAGTAATGTGTCACTAACGCTATTATGATTCTAAAAGAATCCTTGCATGAGACTGGAGAAAAAGCTCTCATTGTAACCTATTCATTCTCTTTACGTAAAGCCTTTTGCTACAAGTCATGCTTTATATCTTTCCACATTTCCTTTGGAGTCACATTTTGTCTTGTAGACCCATTTACAACCTACTGTTTTGGCTCCATTAGGAATTTCTTCTAAGTCCCAAATATCGTTGGTATTCATCGATTTCATTTCATCTTCCATAGCTAGTTTTCTAATTCTTTGAGACCTTCTAAGTCTCAGCTACTGGCACTTCTTTCATATGGGGTTGTTGTTGCTCTTTATTGTTAAGAGACAATTGATTCTATATGCTCTTGTATAACAAGATCCTTTTACATTATTCATCTTCTTTGAAGAGCTAACAATAGGTGTTGTATAAGTCATACAACATCAATAGGTATTGAGAAATTTGTTGCTCTTGAATCACTAGAGTGGGCACGCAGTCCCTCTTTTCTTCAAGTCTTAGGTCTCTACGTACCTCTACATACCATGCTCCTCCATATTATCCTATCTTCTATAAAGATAGTGTATCTTCAAATTTCTTATTTTAGTTTAATCTGTTAAAACCTCATATGGCGCTTTAAGCACCACCTTAACATTTTTAAGGCTCGTCTAGTATGAATGCTGGCTGACTACTCTATCTTTCTATCAGAACTGTAAAAGGTCCAGGAATTTAGCTATTTCTCTGCTTAGAGGTATCATTATTATGACCGTTGTACTCCTCCGACGGTCACATTCATCTTAATTAATCTTTATCTCACTCTTAATGGGGAGTATCTTTCTTAATTGATCTTTATCTTATCTTTCTTAATTGATTTTTTATCTTACTCTTAATTGATCTCACAATTCTCCCCCTCAAAATATGGCATATTCTTCCTGCCATAATTTCGAAAACCATTCAAAACTCTTGTGAACAAGGAGATATTTATGACTTACTTCATTCACATGATTATGTCATGTAAATAAAGTTATTTCTTAATTCGTATGGGAGTACACTTTCCTCATTCCACTTTGAGAACTTAACAAAGTCCTTAACAAAGTCCTTAACAATACTTCTGCAA